AGAACGCACAGAAGTTTCCCGCCATAGCGCAAGGAGGAGCTTATTCGAGAACTCACAAGAACTTCGACAGATGGTCACGAGAACTTTCGCTGCGCTGGTGGGTGTGTTTATCTTCCAAAACAACAACGGCGCGTTTGCAAGATATCACGGTCGCAGAGATGGATCTATAGTTGCTAGACATTGAAGAGGAACAGGTTTTGTTAATGGAGTTGGCAAAAATACCAATTAACCTTTCGTCCTAGTTGTCCATTGTTCCTCGGTTTTTAAAAATGGCGCGCCCCGGCACCAAATCGAGAAGGACAACCACACAGACAGCCGGAAAGGCAAACCAAGGACCAATCACAGCTGCTCTTGGTCTGCGCACTTCCGCTTGAGGTCTTTGCGGCTTTGCAGCCGTCCGACGTGTAGTCAGGATTTTTTTTGAGGTGTGCGACGGCGGTTACAGAACCTCTGCATGGGGGTCGTGGTCGCGCACAGAGACAGATTTTACGGTTGCAGAAGCTATGCGTCAGAAGCATAAATTGCCCTTAAGCATGCTTGTAGCGACAGTAGAGAGGAAAAATTCCCTTTTAACAGGAAGAAAACTCCAGCAAATAATTACATAATAATTAAAGAATTTTTAAAAGTATTTCTTTTTTATTCATCAAAAACATTACATAATTTTGTGATTTGTGTCTTTTTTTCCTGTATTCATACGTCAAAAGCAAATTGCATGAGAGGTGCAGTAAATTCATTTGCATGGTGATTTTTTCTTTTTGTTTTGAGTTCAGGACAAGTTCACAGTATTAAAGTACGCACAGTGGATAAACCTTCGTACATGTTGGCTTATCACAACCACAAAATTACTTTATGGGGGATCTCTGTTTTGACTAGGAAAGCTCTGCTTTATGTTTAGCTTTTTAATTCGTTGTTAAGTGGAAGGAAAGCCTATACTCCTCTATACAAGCCTAAAAGCTGCTCTAAAATGAGTGTTTGGAAAGTTAATTCAGTTTAAACAAGAAAAAAAAAATAGGTGGTGTTTCTACTAATTTGAAAATATCTAAACACGATATAGAATTTTTGGCAGGTTTATCCTATTTGTCCTTCTTTTTAACTATTACAAAAATTATTATAAAATCCAATTATATCTTTTTGTTTGTTCATTTGTTCTTGTTGTTTTTTAAGTTTATTGCTTTTATTTAAAGGAAAAACAATCTGATTTTTTCCATTTCAGGTAGCGAAGCAGGCAGGGCTGCAGAACCAGGGTCAAATTGGAGAGCTAGAAGGCCACTATTTGCTTTGCTCAGTAAAAGCTGACACGGGATATTTTGGCGGCATCTGGAAAAGGAGCGTCCAACCAGCAGATGTTCTGGCAACGCATCCTCATGTCCTGTGGTTCTCCAAGGAGCGAGTGCTCAGTCGGTCAAAGAGGGCGTTGGCCTTTAACGACCCCAACTACCCTAAACAGTGGCATTTGGTGAGATCATAAGAAATACATCAACAAAATTTGTGTATGTATGTATATATAATGTATATAATTACTAGATTTCTTTGTAACTTATTGTTAGGCTGCTATATTATCCAGTTCTGATATGTGCTTGGAGTCAATATTCAACTGGAACAAATGTTTTAGTTTTAACCGTTAGATCATAACTCTCATCAGAAACTGGAATCTAGAAAGACAGTGGAGTTGCTGCCCATCCTGTAAATATCTCAGACTATTGATTAATATATACATGCATGTATCTATAGAGCAAATGCACTGAAGCAATGGCATTAAAATAAAACAAATGGAAGAGGAAAATAAGCTTTAACCAAAGTAGGTGATTTAGGGATATGTTTAGGGTATGCATTTCTTAGGTTGAAATAGTCAACTTCTGTAAATGATGAGATCATACACCAATATTTATTTTAAAAAAAATCAGTACAAAAAAATTATGCAAAAGTGATGCAGAAGCCGAAGGTTTAAAACACTGGTGTGTAAAAACATAAAAGCTTATTTCAAGGTAAACTGCCCTAAAAAGCTGCCTTTGATCTCCTTATCGTCAACATGCTCAATTTTATTTAACGTCTTCCTGGTTTTACAGCATAATAAAATGAACAAAGGCATGGATATCAACGTCACAGGAGTGTGGGAGCACAACATCACTGGTCAGGGGGTCACCGTTGTGGTTGTAGACGATGGGGTGGAGCACACCCACCAGGACATCAAGCTCAACTACGTAAGTCTAGATTTTGATTCCAACTCTGGGTTTGATGTTCTGGAAGAGTACTGGCCTTGTTATGATCTAGGTACTTTGTCTTTAAGAAATGTTCTGCCTTTTGTATTTTGCGGTTAAAGGTATACTATGCAACCGGTGTTGATTTTCCAGCGAGG